AAGGGGAACTTGTTATTCAAGACACAAGGTAACCATTATTAATGTGTTGTGATGAGTGTGTTTGTGAATGGTTATGTGTTGTTTTGTTGTTTGGAAAAATTATGAATTATTGAAAATAAATACTGTATATACTTGTTTGAAATTATTGCCAAGTGGGTTAAAAATTTATTTTTTATTTATCATGATGAGATATTATTGTTCGGATATATTCCTGTTTGGATATTTGAATGATGCATGACTTGTCAGGGTATTTTAATGTATGGTGTTAATGGGAATTTCTGTTCGGTTAATTATTACCACGTGGTAAGCCCTCATTGGACCCAATGAGTGGCGTGTCGCTTGGTCCAACTCACCTTTGGCTGGGTGATTTGGCGTCCGAGCATGGTGAAAGGAGGAGATAAGGTGCAGTCATGCAATTAAATACTTGTTCGGTTTGTTTGAAAATATTGTTTGGTTAAATGTTTTGTGTGCCCACTTAGCAATCGCATGATTAGTTACATCCGCATGCATCATTACATATTAATTTTTGGTTACTGGGACTTTTAAGTCTCATTCCCCGTGGTTAATATTTTTACAGGAGCGAATCCGGCCGAGAAAGCACCAGAGGTGTAATTATGGTGTATGAGACACCATCTTTTACGTTGCCTCTTATTTTGGATTATACAATGTATCTTGTGCCAACTTAGGACATATCTTGTCTATGGAGCATGTAAACTCTAATCCTTTTTATTAAATGCATTTATATGTCCAAGAGGATTATGTCTGTCCCTTTTGATTCATGACCTAATTTAAATAACATGCTATGAGGATCATGTCTGTCCCTCATGGTTCTAATTGCCTTTTGAGATATTTTAAGACCTGTGGTATATTGTCTTGGATGTATCATGGTAGAAATTTTTCTACCATGATAAGGGTATGATAAAGGTTCAATGAAAAAAAAATGATTTCTTGAATTAATAATTTGCGAAAAATCGGTTTGTAAATTTGAGGGTGTTACAACAACCTTCACAATTTTCTTATTTTCAACAATATTATAACATGACATCCCATTTGGCAAAAACACTTCCAAATACACATTCACAATTTCACAATTTTTTCATATATATAACAAAATAATTTTTCAACAACAATTCACAATTTTCTTAATAATCATACAATTAACATTAATCAATATTAATCACAAATTAAAGTATGGTTATCTCATGGCTTTATTAATAAATGTTTCCTTACAACTTTTTTTCTATCACAATCTTCACCAACAGTACAATCTACACATAACATATTATTTATAAATATTAGTTTTAATTACTGAAACTAATAAAACAACTTTAATCATGGAATTAGAGAGTATAGCATAATTTTTAATTCCATTATTAATACAAGTCTAGAGTTAGTACCTTCAAATAAAATTTCTAACTCCTCTTTTAATAATCAGTAAATACTAATAAGCTAAAATCAACACTCAAATGATTTCTTTATTATCAAAATTTTCATTTTAATGTCATAAATTCGCATATAAAAATATTAAAAATTACAAACTTAGTCTCAAACTTAGAATCATCATTCTATATTCATAATAATATATTTCTCATCCCAAATAGTCATCCAAAAATTAACAAATCAACTTATACTTTTATATTTAACAAAAATCTACTCATAAAAATTTAGGGTTTAACTCATAAGTCTCAAATTCAAATTCAATCAATAAACTAATTCTCTAGAATATTTATTATACTATTAACAATCTTAACAATTACATTTGTTCGTTATAAATCCATCCATTTTTCAAATCTTAGATTTTTCACCATTATTAAATCAGAAACTAAAAATGATAGATGATCAAGAAAATCTTTTAAAATACTTACATAGTTTTAAGAAGTTTGAAACGTCATTCAAAATATTTTATTATAGAGTTTTAAATCAAATCGCTTTCACCATATCACTCACACTCTGTGTTTTTTTTTTTGTTCTTCTCTGTCACGCATGAGGAGCAATTGAAAAAAGGCAAGAGAAAATGAAAAGAGAATTGGATATGTGGTGTTTTAAAAAGAGGTGCGGGCCTCACATCCTCCCTCCCTGTTCTTACTTTCCTTTCCCTTCTTCTTCTTCTTCTTCTTCTTCTTCTTAATTTTTTAGCCTCCGTACACCTACACACACAACTAACAGATAGAAATCCATTGCCCACTTTATTTTTTCATTTCTTCTCCCTTTTTTTCAATAACAATAATAATAATAATAATGATTATTTTTTAATAATCTTAATATAGAATTTTATCATAAATTAATCTAATAATTATCTCCTAAATAATTTACTTACCTCTAAATATTTTTCAAAATTTTTATTAACCTAAGTTGACTATTAAAATTTAAATTAAAATTTTATAAGTACAATTTAATACACATAATTCAATAAACTATAAAAACTTAATTTTACTAAATCAAAATTTAAGAACTAAATCAATAACGGAAAAAAAATGTAAGGACTAGAATTTATATTATCTCTACTTTTAATATACCATCTAACTCTTAAAAGAGTTATTTGAAACAGTAGATATGTTCATGTGCGTGAGTGGAAAACTCCCAAAAACCCATAACTAAGCATGAAATCTTTTCCATCAAAATACACACATATATCAGCCGTCGAAAGAATGCGTTGACAACTACATGCACTTGTTGCACGCCTAAACAGTCACATTTGTAAAGTTGCAATGTTGTGGTTGTATTTGAGTAGATATTCAACTCTGTCAAATGTCACCATGAGGATCATCTACATTATTGTGTTTGTGAAATATTCTTCCATTGGAAATGATACTATTCAAAACATGATTAAGCATTAAATATAAGTACTTCTCATAGTTTTGATAAAAATATGAATTCATTATGTTGTAAGATGTTAACTCTTTCTATTAGACCCAACTATGTTAGTAACTCTACTCACTAAACTTGTTAGACAACACAACTTTCTATTTTAACATTAACTCTCTCCGATCTTTATTGTATGATACTTTTAACCGTCTCACACATTTTAAGGAAGGTTAGTTTTTATTTTTTTGATATCATAAAAAATGAGATATACTTTCATCTTACTCCTAATTTTAAGTAATTATACAACTATATTAAATATCTTTACACTGATCAAGAAAGAATAAATTTGAAAAAAAGTGGTATAATTATTACAATGTATTACACGTTTTGAATTAAAAATTACTTTTAAAAAGTGTCATATAAATACGATCAAAAGAGGTATTTCATTGGGCACATGCTTGTATATATTCCACCCCGAACACCACACACACAAAGATGCATACAATCGCACACGCGTAACGCCGTTGAGATGTCTAGATATCTATCTGCACAATATTAATGGATATGTATGCTCTAATAGACTAACACTCATTACTAGCTCCCAGAGCACATCAAATCCAAAATCACTTATATTAGTACATGTTTGTTTTCTTTTGCTGGCTTGATCTAAAGCAGACTGTTTGCATAGAAGTAACAATTTGTTACTGTTTATATAACGTGATTTTGAAATGCATATACTATCAATTAAACATGTATCCAAACACTCTGATTACTCTATATCCACCCAAGCTCCCCCTCCCCCCTCTTTAGATAAAAGCTCACTTATTGTTAAACATATGGGAACCCAGATGATCTGGAGGGGATTTGGGTCATTTGGTGATTACTTGCTAAGAGTAAATCTTCGTTGCTCAACCTTCATGAAAGATGTCCAATGATCAAAAGAGGAAAAAAGAATGAAGGATGTCCTCCTTCCATTATACAAAACAGTGACTATTTCCACAAGTTAAAAGCGTAAGTAAACTCACAAAATATTGGAATGATAATTTTTTCTCAATCCCCCTAGGATTAGATTATAGGAACCTAGTTTTTACTACCATGTTATTTAGGTTTCATCGGATTGGTTAATAGGGTTCATTAGTTTACTTATTTCGTTGATTGGGCGGCTCTTCCTCATAAAGACATTGGTAGTTTAAGGAAAAGTATGTATCTCTATCATAACAAAGGTGCCTTCTTGAAGCTCTGCTAGAAAGTAAAGGATTGCAAAATTTAAAAATTGCAGGATGCTCTTGAAAGACTGGGATCAAGTGAAACTGTTTTTCAAGTTTTTTGATCATAACTTATTTGAACACATAAAAATATGCCTAGTTGATATACAATCAAATAGGTTAGAACTAAATAACATAACCCAAATTCAAAAGACTTGCAAAGTTATCAAGAATTTCCCAGTTCCCACTGTTTTATAGCATTGCAGGGCATCTATTTTGACTAGCCAAGCATTTTCGAACAGGAAGGAATAAAAACAAGCCTGACAGGAATGTTGAATCTTAATGAAATGAGGTTCATCCATCATCTTCGGTCAATTTCACAGTCCATGTTCTGTCATGTTTGATGTATGCCTCCAAGAAAATCAGAGGCCCCAAAACCCTATTTCCTGTGCCCCTTGTAGTAAAGAGAGCAAGAGGAATGCGAAGCTATCCTATCACGTGAAGGGCACGAGGGAGTTGGGACGTTGAGGTAGCTAGTATTTTAGGACAGAAGATTGCCACGTAAAACGTGACTGCTGACTAGCGACAGGAGACCAGAAGTTCAAAGTCACGTGCTCTTGTGGTCAACCGTGAAAGGATTCTTTCGATCAGATTCAGCAACAGAAATTTGGCTCGTCTTATCTCATTTATATCATAGTTTATTTGACTATCAGTTAACATAACATACTTTGAAGGTAAAGAGATACTCTCAAACATTTCATAAAAGATTTTCAACAATACAGATTATGCATTTTTTTTTCAGAGAGGACGTTTTATTCGATTTTCTAGAACAATAAAGAGAACGAAACATTTTTTTTTAACTCGAATTTTATATACGAGAAAAAATTACAGGAGGATGCGGTCAGCTGGTCATGCGGGGCTCTCGTGTTTTCGGCCCATATGAGGAGATCGTATAAATCGTGGAGGGGGTGCTTAAAAAAATGATGAGTATAGTCCCACGGCTTATTCCGTAAACCGCCTCGCTCTCTCTCTTTTCCCACTTTATCACTAACACTTGCGCAGGGACGGATCTCTCTTCCGTGTCTTAGTGATATATTACAGTCTACACTTCGGAGTACACACCTCATAAATCATTTCTAGGCTCTTACAGTTCTCAGTTTTCACAGCCAAAAACTCAGAAGGAACACCAAAAAAAAAAAAAAAATCTTCGTTCTCGGAGACCGACGACGAATCCGCCGGTAATAACTATAAGAATGGCTTCTTTTCCGTCAGAGAACGGTGTTGAAGGAGACGATGAGAGAGAGGAGGACGACGAGGAAGAAGAAGAGGATGAGGAAGAGGAAGAGGAGCCGAGGCTTAAGTACCAAAGAGTGGGAGGCAGCATACCTTCGCTGCTAGCCAGTGATGCGGCGTCTTGTGTCGCTGTTGCTGAGCGGATGATCGCCATTGGCACTCATGGTGGCACCATCCATATCCTTGATTTTCTTGGGAATCAGGTGAGCTACCAATAACTCGATTTATTAATAATTAATGTAAATTCTAGCTCTCGTGGTTCAAATGCTACCTTGCTATTTCTTATTCTGTTCGGTGCTCCCGTTTTTTTTTTTTTTTCCCTTGAAAAAAATTTATGATGTATCATGTATCTGAACTGAAGTGAGAGGCATAATTGAGCCGGTGCTTGGAATCACGAGAGTTAGGATATGACCGTAGTCTATTCGCTTGAGAATGTTGGCCTTCCCTGAACTTGGAATATGATTAAGCACTTTTTTGGGGTGCCACGTTGTTCAAGTGTATGTTATGTCTCCAATTATGGGTATCATCTGGACTACGGTGGCTTGGTCCTTCGAGTTGACACTGTAGGGACTGAACTACCTTATGCAATAGATGGTTGCTATTTTGCTCGGTCGCAATGGTTAATAACAGGTCTTGGGAATTTGTCCACCCCTCGGGGGTGTTTTTGTTTTTTTTTTGGGCCTTATAACTGGGTTTCCCCTGTAGCAGGTGAAGGAATTTGTTGCTCATGCTGCTGTTGTTAATGACCTTAGCTTTGACCTAGACGGTGACTATATTGGAAGCTGTTCTGATGATGGATCCGTGGTAATAAACAGCCTATTCACTGGTGAGAAAATGAAACTTGAGTATCGTCGTCCAATGAAGGCTATTGCTCTGGACCCAAATTATGCGAGAAAAACATCAATGAGATTTGTTGCAGGTGGTTTAGCTGGCCATTTATATCTTAATTCGAAGACATGGTTAGGCTATCGTGATCAGGTTTTTAGTCTTCTTTCGACCCTTAGAACATAACTTCTTAATACTTTTTTTTGATATATAACTTATAAACATGTATCCCTTTTTTGGGGAGAAAAGGTTTTGCACTCTGGTGAGGGTCCAATACATGCTGTGAAGTGGAGAACAAGTCTTGTTGCTTGGGCAAATGATGCTGGAGTGAAGGTTTATGATACAGCCAATGATCAGCGTGTAACATTTATAGAAAAACCCCGAGGGAGCCCACATCCTGAGCTTCTGCTTCCTCACTTGGTTTGGCAGGTTAGTCAAATATTTGAGAGTACATGTTACTCTGGCAATTAGCATCCACTACTGTTATTAAATTGAAAGGTGGTCTGAGTTCTCTGAACAGATATGATACCATTTTGTTCATCATTAATATACCATTTCTTGGTGAAACTTGATACATGGGAATTAGGAATAATAGGGGCACTTAGGGGAATTAGGGATATATGGGTAGTTTGGGAATTTAGTTATATTTTCTATAAATAGGGTTTCAAGGATGTAATGGGGTGTTGTGAATTAAGTTGTTATCTCTCTCTCTCTCTCCATATATATATATATATATATATATTTTTCCTTCTACCTCTATTAAAGGTATTAGAGCCTCCTCCCTGGCCATGGAGGAGTTGCTGGAGATTCGATCCTCCATTTGCATTGGTGAACTGGAGCACTACCTTGAGCTTCAGCAAGCCATGCTTAAATCTACCAACACTTGTCTGGCCCAACACTCTTAGGTTATCGGGGAACTCAAGCAAGCAGCTTCCAGTCTTGCAAAGTCTATGCAAGCTATTAATGCTACGTTTTCATCAATGGTTGCCAGCAAGTCAATCTTCATGGTAGTAATAGAGTTGTCACAGCTAACACATGAAACCACAGTGCAGGAGTACCTTGAAGCACTTTTGCTGCACATAAAATTACCAGAATCCACCACCATCAATGCCTTCATCAATGGGCTCCACCCAAAGATATAACGAATTGTTTGCTTCATCAATCCAAGAACCCTTGCTAAGGCTATGTATTTTGCTGATTTGGGTTGAAGAAGAAACATGATGGTCAAAAAGATGAACACATTGAGGAGGACTTTAAGATTCAGCAACGAGAATTAGATGTGAAAGATGAAGACAAGAAAGAGAAAGTTGCCGAAGAGTCTGATATCTGTTTGAAACTTATCCTTCTTGTTGACGTAGAGATGAAGGAACATGCTGAAACAATGGATATTGATGCCTTGAAAATGGATGATGTTTTCGGGGACATCATGACAGACTAGAAGAACCAAGATGGTGAAGAGATGGAGAAAGATAGAGTGGCAAAGAAGACAAAGGGTTCTCTGACTTCTTGTGCGATAACATCAACACATAAACTCTCACTCCCATTTCATGGACAAGCAACGCCCGCAAGGATCCCTCACTGTACTTGCACAGCCTCCACATCAATTGCTGGACCTATTCACATGTTTGGTTTGCTTAAGAAATTATGCCCACAATGCTAAAGGCGGAATATCAATTGATGAAGGCAAAGATCAATTCATTGCGGACAATGCTAGTTTTGCATTTGGGTCAGGTAGGTGTATGTTTCTCATAATTTCCTCTATGGTTCGAGGTCTCTTTACATCCTGATGTGAACGAAATACATCCCCAAATCACTTCGAACTTAGGTGAAGAGGGATTAATAGTCCTTGGAAGCAATGCACAATCATGCTCTAGTTTGCAATTTCACTATTCTTGATTGTTTGAAGGGAATTCTTCTACACGGCTGATGATTCTGCTTGTAGAGGGTTGTTGAAGCAACATTGATGTTTGGAGATATAGGTTTTGGGTCCCTACTGCGGATTTGCATACTAGTTTCACAGTTTCGGATGTCACTGGTTAGGAGCTCCATTCAACTCACGATGCTGGTCCTCTATTGAGTTTTCCTTCCCTACTGAATTGTTTCTACCATCTCCATCACTTTTGGGTTCTTTCTCACCACTCATTGGAGCCAGTCATATTGTTCCTTCATTGGAGGAGTTCTAACCATAATGCTGAAAAAATAATATTGATTGGAAGCCAAAGGTGACCCAAAGTAGAATTGGGCAGAAACATTGTTATTGGGTCGGGTAGGGCTGTTGAAGACAACGGGTCAAGTGGGGATGGTGAAGGAATAAGGGGTTTCAGGTTTTCATGAAAGTTTCTCGGTTTTTAATTCAGCAATTAGGACGTGCATTTGCCACTATGAGTTTTTACTTTAAAAGTCACTGCATTCAACTTTAATGGATGTCTTCCAACTCTAAGTGTGCCGTAAGTGTGATTCACGTGCCAAGCATCACAACGATGTTGAACATGGGCTTATTAAAAGTGCTGTTAGCCCTTATTTGGATGAGATTTGGGCTTCTCATGTTATGAGCCTTAAATCCTTTGGATGGAAGTGGGGCATGGAATTGGAGCTATTGCAATGGATATCATATGGGTCCTTGTGGGTTGCCATTATGGGCTTTGGGATTGAAGGATTACTGTAGAAAGTCTAGGCTTTTAATGCCCATTAATTTTGTTTGCAATTTTTTTACCAAGCCATAGTAACTTCTAGTCTAGTTTACTTTAAAAAAGAAAAGAAAAAAAGGAGTCTTATTTTAGATATATGTTTTACTTTTTACTTTTGCACTAATCTTTGCGGACAAGGATCTCTTGTTGGGGGAGTATTGATACATGGGAATTAGGAATAATGGGGGTAATTAGGGAAATTAGGGATAGTTTGGGAATTTAGTTATACTCTCTATAAATAGGGTCTCAATGATGTAATGGGGTATTGTGAATGAAGTTGTTCTCTCTCTCTCTCTCTCTCTCTCTCTCTCCTCCCTCCCTTCTACCTTTATCTAAACTTCTTTAGCCTGATGCCCTTCCATCATTCAGGATGATACCCTCTTGGTGATAGCTTGGGGAACATCTATCAAAATTGTATCAATAAGAACAAACCTCTATAAAGCAGTTAATAGGATGAACAGGCAAGTCCTAGTATCTAGTATGAACCAGGTGGATATTGTGGCATCTTTTCAAACCACCTATTTAATCTCAGGAATTGCCCCATTCGGTGATGCTTTGGTTGTTCTTGCTTATATTTCTGGAGAAGATGGAGAACAGCATTTTAGTAGCAGGGCTCCTTCTCAGCAGGTATCCCATGAGCATGATGAAAGATTTATTTAACCTCTCACATTGGCATTGCATCTATTAGACTTTTCACTTTCTACCTTTTTCTTTTTCTAAGCTACAATAATATACTTTGTTTTTTCCTTCTCTCACTTATTACTTGGACATATTTGAAATTCATTTTATTTTTCTTACCTTTTTTATGGTATAGATGATCAAAATTGAGTTTTCTAAATTGGAATTTTTGATGATTTCATATTTTAGATAATCCACAGTAAAAAACCAGCTTCCTGCTGTTGCTTACAAAGTAATCAAATTCAAATAAATTTTCCGATTACATTGTTCAGTGTGGTATGGTTCACTGGAGTAGTGTTTGTATTCTTTGATTGCATTCCTATCTATTGTTAATTTTGTTAAAACTCATTTTTCATGCTAACCGCATTATGTCCACTACATTTAAAAATGGAAGCAATACATGCTAATTATATCATAATATGCAAGAAAGATGAAGCAATTATTTTGTTGTCTTTTTTATAAATTTGAAAAGACTTGATTTTTAAGGTGGGTGAACATATCTTAAACAGGGCAATGCGCAAAGACCAGAAGTACACATAGTAACATGGAACAATGACGAACTTTCAACAGATGCTCTACCATTACATGGATTTGAACATTTCAAGGCAAATGATTATTCTCTTGCTCATGCTCCCTTCTCAGGTTAACATTTGGTTAGTGTTATTCAGGATCTATGTTTTATGTACAAAGTGGTCTTGCATATAAATGATAATAACTTCTTATTAATATGTAGGTAGCAGTTATGCTGGTGGTCAATGGGCTGCTGGTGATGAACCGCTTTACTATATTGTGTCCCCAAAAGATGTAGTCATTGCAAAGCCAAGGTCAATATCGGTTTCTTTGTTTAATAATTTTATCAGTGATTGAAGCATTTGTATATGAAACTATACACGTTTCCATGTATCTTGCATGGAACATGGAGTGGTGAATCCCCCCTCCCTGAAGAACAGGAATTTTACACATGGTTCAATTTTTTTTTGATTATCACTATTTGAATTTTACATTCTTGATTTTCTTTTCTTTTCTTTCTTTCTTTTTTTCCCCCTTGGTTGTGAGGGAGTCTGGCAGAAATAATAAAAGTGACAATGCCTTTTTTCTTCTTCTTCTTCTTCTTCTTCTTTTTTTTTTAAAAAAAGAGAGTTTAAACTTGATCATTTGCAGCATAATGGCTATTCTAGAAGGTATTCTTGACAGCAGATTGCTGGGCATGGAAGAATGTTTTGATTCTGTGTTTTAATTTGGCGAAACATTGTTGTTCTGTTAAAAAGTAATTGCGTTATCAATGTCATGTTTGACAAAGATTAAAATTATTTGAGTAACTGTCATTTGATTCTCATTTTTGTTCCTTGTTATAAAAATTAGAAAAAACATGGATAAATCAATGTGTTTTGATTTTTAGGGATACTGAAGATCATATTGCGTGGCTTCTTCAACATGGGTGGCATGAAAAAGCTTTGGCTGTGGTTGAATCTGGTCAAGGAAGGAGTGAACTTCTAGACGAGGTACTTACATTAATTCAATCTGTTCTCTTCATTTAACAATTAGATGTGTTGATAGGAAGAAACTTTGAATAATTGTTCTGATCATAATGATTGGCTGCACCTAGTGGGATAAAGGCTTGTTGTTGTTGTTGTATCATAATGATTGGCTGAAAAGCTGGGACACAGCTGCCCTTTGTAAAATCCAATGTGATAGCCAAAAAATCCTAATTGCCTAAAATTCCGGTACAGTACTTTAAATAGCTAAATATCTCCCACCCAAGCACAATATATTCCCAATCCACAGAGATATAATATATTCCATAATCTGACTATTTCCAGATTACATTATCCCTATATCGTACTCCATTATTATATTGTACTCCATCATATGGATTGCATGTTTAAGAAGATTTATTTCTAAAGACAGAGTAACTATCTTGTTTTTCAAGTCTGCAATTGTTTATAAATTTTTTTGCTATCAATAACACTGTACAATGTGACTCACTAGATGCAAGCTCAGAAGGGAAACTATTAAATCACTATGACTATACAATCTACAGAGAAGCTTAAAATTGACTGGATCAGTCTTACTGTGTAGTTAGTCCCACACTTTCTGGAAAAATTTGTGCATACTTGGGATTTATTATTATTTTTTCTTTTTTCCATTTTTGGTGCCTATAGGTTGGATCCAGGTACCTCGATCATTTAATTGTGGAAAGAAAATATTCTGAAGCAGCTTCTCTGTGTCCCAAGCTGCTGCGAGGATCAGCTTCAGCATGGGAAAGGTACTACATGCTGTTTTTTCATTAGTCTATTGAACAATTCTCATTTATTGACTGACAACTGACTGCTGTCAACAGATGGGTTTTCCACTTTGCACACCTTCGTCAACTTCCTGTATTGGTCCCTTATATGCCTACTGAAAACCCTAGACTGCGAGACACTGCTTATGAGGTTAGCTAGGATGAAGTAGACTTTGTCACAAATAATGTCTTTTTATAGTATCTGTAATGAACGAAGTTGGGATGAAATAGTTTTTATTCTGCTTTTGGTTCTACAGGTCGCTCTTGTTGCATTGGCTACAAATCCATCTTTTCACAGGGATCTCTTGTCCATTGTCAAATCCTGGCCATCTGTAATTTACAGTGCGTTGCCTGTTATTTCAGCCATTGAACCTCAGCTCAATACTTCATCCATGACTGATTCACTCAAGGAGGTTAGTCTGATATGTTGGAATAGTATTTTGAATTTGTGAACCATCTGTTCATGTTAACATGTTCCTTTTTGTTCTTGGGCAGGCATTGGCTGAGTTATATGTAATCAACGGGCAATATGGGGAAGCCTTTTCATTATATGCCGATGTAGGTGGTGTAATGCGCTTTTCTTGTGTTCAGATATCATTGAATATCATGACTGCTTTAATTCTGAGGTCTTTTGTCTTTATTGTGTTTGACTGTTAATTTGCTTCACTTTTCTTTGTTATTTTCTTGCTCGACAATTTCAGCTTTTGAAACCAGAAATATTTGACTTCATTGACAAACATAATCTACATGAAGCCGTCCGAGAAAAGGTATGGTTCTAATCAGTATGACTTTAGGTTCTGTTTGGCTATTAGAAAAGAATGGAATGGAATAGAATAGATTGGAAAAATCAAAACAAAAATGAACTAAATTACCCTTTCCCCATGATAAGTATGATAAAACTCATTAATATATACTACAAATGTAAGAATTATCATACCCTCCAAAAATTTCATGAATGGTGATTTCCAACCCCATGAACTAAATTACTCCTCCCCTTTATGAGTGTGCTCTCCTATCTCTTTTGGTCATCTTACTTTTACCTTTATTTTTCTATCCATTCCATTCCATTCCATTCTTTTCTAGTAAGCAAATGTGACCTTAATTTATTTGGGAATCTTGCGTTTCTACTTTCTGCATATTCTTTTCTGATGATCAAAATCACATCTTGTTTCTTTTGTTGGCATCCAATATTAAGCATTAGTTCATCTGAATAATCTTCTCTAGAAGCTTATTTGCGGTATATTGGGATCTGGTTATTCATGTTGTGGCATAAATTTATTGAATGCATATGGCAAAATGGATGAACAATAGAATCCCAATACACATCTAAAATTGGTTCCTCCGAGTATTAAACACAATAACAGTCTATCAAAGAGAAGAGTTGTTGACTTTTGTTCTTGCAGCGGCATATAAGTGCGTGTTTTCTCTCATAGATTGTGAACATTTGGAATTCAGAAGTTTCTTTTAATTCGTTTTTGTTTGCAGTAAGAGCAGTACTTATGAAGGAGATAATTGATCTAGGAGTCTGCGAACCAATCTCATGAGTGGTGGAGGCAAACAATGCATAATAAATATAGCTCGATACATAAAAAGGAAATAAAAAGGTTGACTATAGTGTTAAAATCTCATGCAATGAACAAGGGCTGATCTGAAAATAAATGAACTCATAATGAACCCCATACTTACGAGATTATTTTTTTAAATGCGCATGGGAAAATGGATGAACTAATAGATCCCCATCCTTCGAGAAGTAGCATGAACTGGTTGCAACTATATACATGATTGTTGTTCTTAAAAGAGAATAGTTGTTGATTTATCTATGTGAAGTAGCATATGAGTTCATATTCTGTTTGCAGTTTTCTTTCATTTTCATTTTTTTTTATATGATGCCTGGATTCTTCTTGGTCTATGCTGTACATGTTCAGGTTGTCCAACTGATGATGCTAGATTGCAAGCGTGCAGTTGCTCTATTTATTCAGAACAGGGACTTTATAAGTTCACCTGAAGTTGTGAAGCAACTTCTAGATGCTGATAATAAGTGTGACTGCAAATATTTTGTACATTTATACCTTCATTCATTATTCGAAGTAAACCAACATGCTGGGAAGGACTTCCATGATATGCAGGTAGGTGTTGTTTCTTTCACTTGACCTTTGTGGGCTTCCTTTTGTTTTGGATTCTTTGTTGTTGTCCAATTGTATCGTTGCTGGCTTTAAGACAGTATTAGTGCTTAGTGTTGTATTATTCTCCTGTTTACGTTTTACTGTAAATTGGTGTCTTATTATTGCAGAATCTATCTTCTGCTGCTTAACCTTAATTATGATTTGTAAGTGTTGCGTGTGTGTGTAAACACTATTTTTTGGTGCTAACATTGTCATTTTGTCTGCTGCATAGGTAGAACTTTATGCAGATTATGACCCGAAGATGCTGCTACCATTTCTTCGTAGTAGTCAACACTATACCCTTGAGAAGGTTTGACATCAACCTGTGAATATTGTCAACAGTTATATTTGTGTAAAATTTAAATCAAATTCTTGGTATTTTTGTATTCAGGCCTATGAAATTTGCATCAAAAGAGATCTATTGAGGGAGCAAGTCTTCATCCTAGGAAGGATGGGAAACTCGAAACAAGCCCTATCTATTATTATTGACAAGTTAGGGGATATAGAGGAGGTACTTTTATCTTCATCATGGAAGTGGTTTTTGGTTTCAACCATCTTCCAAATCTTGACTTAGAACATGAGGGATTTTGTAGTTTAAGGTCATGGTTATAAGGTAATTATTATGGTTTGGTGCAGGCTGTAGAGTTTGTCACCATGCAGCATGATGATGAACTTTGGGAAGAACTGATCAAGCAATGCCTGCACAAACCTGAAATGGTATTTCAAAAGTAAATTGATGTAGAGGATATGCTAAGTCACTTGTTATATATGTATATATATTATCTGCCTTTTATCAACCTGTTCTAAACTTGATTCTTTTATTTAATAGGTGGGCATCCTATTGGAACACACCGTTGGGAATCTTGATCCCCTCTATATAGTAAATAAGGTTCCCAATGGGATGGAAATACCTCGGTAACTAATATCTTATCGTAACTTAGTGTTTTCTAGCAGGCATATTCAATGAATCAGTAATGTTATTTTAATTATGATATCTGATTATATAGATGCATATCTTGCTAGTTCTGGTTGTGAATATGCATTTTATGGACCATTCCTAGAATTTCAACCAATTGCTCTTATCATTCTGGCTTCTAATTCCACCTATGCTTGGCAGTATTTCATTCTGCAGTAACCATAAGTTCTCTATCTGCTTTTCTTGCAGACTTAAGGATCGGTTAGTTAAAATTACCACTGATTACAGGACTGAAACATCACTCAGACATGGGTGCAATGATATCCTTAAGGTGATTTTCTTCACTGACCCTCCCCCTACTTGTTCCCTTCCATAGTACGAGGGAATATCATTCAGTTAAGTTAATTGGAAACAACAATACATCTTTGCTGATTTGCCGTCATTGAAATAGGTGGACTGTGTCAACCTTTTTGTTAAGTATTACAAAGAGGCGAGGCATGGAGTTTATCTGAGTGATGAGGTTGAGCCACGAGATAAAAAGAGTGAAAATCATTCTTCTCAGGTGGTTGAGAATTCTCCAATTCTGAGAAACGTTGAAGCGAAGTCGAAGAACAGGGGAGGAGGAAGATGTTGTATATGTTTTGACCCTTTTTCTATTCAGAATGTATCAGACTCGGTCGTTGTTTTCTTTTGCTGTCATGCTTATCACACAACTTGTCTAATGGATTCCACGGACACTAGCAGTGACAACAAAGAGATTGAAGTCACTTATGGAAAGGCAGAATATGATTATAATGGTTATGTGGATGAAGAAGAACCCGAGATGGATGGTCATCGTATGCGTTGTGTATTATGTACTACTGCTGCCAGTTGAGTTGCCCCGCTGGCATCAATTTGCTGGCTAGATAATTTATAGATTCTTCTAGTTAGAAAGTTGTAATTTTATTTTATTTTTTTCCTTTCAAAATTTGGTTTTCCTTGTGATCAGTCACAATTTTTTGTGCTGGGAAATGTTAGGTTGTTTTCTTCCTTCCTTCCGGTCTGTCTGTCTTTCTTTTTTGGGGTTAATCTGCCATGAAATAATAATAAAGAAAAATCATTCTGACTATTTTAATATAACTTGCATGAGATATGGCCATTGTCTCACTGGACAAATTATAGAAACTGTCTCCTAGAATTCTGTTACTTTGACCTTGACGGTCATTAATGAGTTATACATGACAATAAACTTACAACATAAAGGGAAAACTCACGCATGAAAATGATAAACACGCAGCAATCATAACAGAAGGAACGCAGAAATCATAGAAGGGAAAAGAACAATGGGGAAGAGCCCTTGCAGCCGTCGCAGTACGTAGAATTTGCCAAAGAGAATTTTCTTAAATATCCTTATTTTCTCTCGACTTGTTAAGGGAAGAGGATTTCTTCACTTTTTTTCCCTCATTTCTCTCATTTCTACCATTCATTAATTTTATCATTTAAAAAAATTGTTTAATAAAATAATTTGAATGGTGGAGATGGGGAAGTGGGGGGAAATGTAGGGAAAAAAATGGAGACCCCTCTCCCTCAGCAGCTGGTTCCTTGTGTCTCTTGTCAATACTAATTATTCTCTGATATCCGCTTTTTAACATCGAAAAAAACACGAGATCAAACAGTTATTCTGATTAAACCGATCCACAGATCTAGAGTTAACTGAATATTCTTGCAGTCAATTATTGGCGAGTATTACTATTAACAAGACAAGACAAATTGCTTTTTCTTACATCAAGGTGAAGCCCCACGTACCTATTCATTATAAGTTACACATCGAAAAATACAAACACAACCTTGTGAGCATCATATGCTATAAAAAGGACGTTCTGAAGTCCTTGCATGCCCGAAGCACAAAAGAAACCTCAAGCAGTGAAATCCATCTTGCTTCTTTTAATACATGATGAAATACTCTTCTTTGCCATTTCAATGGATCCCTTTCATTTTTCTGATACACACAACCTGTCTCTCTGAAACACAGTCCATCAAAATTCCTAGGTTGAGCGCAATTGGAGGAACAACCTTAAACAACCAAACAACATTAATGGCTGCATCTGATATTGGGGACTTCAAAACATTCTATTACAACCAAACACTGGATCACTTCAACTATAGGCTTGAAAGCTACACAAAGTTTCAACAAAGATATTTGATCATTTTCGAGTACCGGGGTGGTGCCAATTCTAGTGCTCCAATATTTGCTTACTTTGGTGCTGAAGAACCCATAGATCTTAACCTCGGGGTCGTTGGACTTCCAACTGATAACACTGCAACCTTCAACGTTCTAGTGGTAGTCATAGAGGTAAGATTGGTGCGTGATTTCAACTATACTGTCATGTTTCATCATCCTAATCGTTATTTCTCTTACCAGCATCGATACTATGGGGAATCGGTTCCATTTGGATCGAGGGAGGAAGCGATGAAGAACACAAGCGCTATTGGATATTTCAACTCAACTCAAGCCATAGCTGATTACACCGCAATTCTCATACATGTTAAGAAAACTTTACACGCCCAAAAGTCCCCATTGATTGTATTCGGAGGATCATATGGCGGAAGTTAGTTTCTCTCAAATAGTCTTCATTAATTAAAATATGTTTCAATTATATATATTCTGAAATATATATATATATATATAGGTTAAAATGTGTGCGTGTTCTGCAGTTCTTGCTTCATGGTTTAGGCTAAAATATCCCCACCTAGCTCTTGGAGCGCTAGCATCATCAGCTCCAATCCTCAATTTTGATAATATCATCACCCCACAAAACGGTTTCCACTGTGCTGTCACAAAGGATTGTTGCGTGGATAAACCATAGTTTGACTTTGATCTTCTTTTGTCCTCATAAAACATGTCAGCGTGATATTAATACTCGAGTATTAAATTGATTATGATGAGCTGATGAAGTCATATTTAGAGAATCAGATAGCCTGTCTTATTTTTCTTTTCAAATTGAAAATGCATCATGAGGGATAACCTGATGAAAATGAGTTATACATGCAGGAAGCTAGTGAGACGTGCTATGAAACTATTCTGAACTCCTGGTCTGAAATAGACAGATTAGCTTCCGAGCCAAATGGTCTTTCCATCCTTAGCCAGAGATTCAACACTTGCCAGTAAAAATATACTAACTTCTGTCACACCCTTTTATTTCTTTCAGGCTTCAGCCAAATGATCTTTTCTTGATGTAGTACCTGGAGCACATGTATTCTTACGCAGCTCAATATAATCATCCACCATTATATCCAGTTAGTTTAATCTGTGGCGTGGTATTGAAGATGCATCATCATCAAGTGATATACTCAGTAAGACATATGCAGGCGTAGTTGCTTACAAAGGTAATGATGGCTCATGCAAATTTAACGGCCCTACCAATGTAAGCGAGACAGCTGACGGTCGGGCATGGCAGGTATAACTTGGTCATAACATAGTATAACTTCGAGTGTATGCTTGTTAATTATAATAGGCGTACATGTGTTCTTTAATTTGTTTGATGTTAAAATGAAAGGATATTTGGTTTGTAACTAGAGAGTCGTTGTGAGATGGTGATGCCAATTGGGCGTGGAAATGATACAATGTTCCAACCCGAACCTTTCGACTTAAGGGGCTTTATGAAATGGTGCAAGCAAGAATATGGTGTCTGGCCTCGTCTTCATTGGGTCACTACTTACTATGGTGGCCATGTAAGCATTCTTATTTTGTTTCTCATATATATGCATGACTGATTAAGACTTTTCGTGTCATCCTTCAAATTCTTGGAGAAACGTACCTAGCTTGTGTGTGTGTGTGTGAACAAGAAAACACATTGCTTTTGCATGCAATAACTAATTTCAGTTTAAAATGTACTTGAAACTGATGATCGATCTGGTGGTCATTAATTAAGAAAGCTAAGGGTAATCACTGTCGCGACAGGATAAGAAACCGATCCTTCAAAGGTTTGCGAGCAACATTATTTTCTCAAATGGGTTAAGAGATCCTTTTAGCAGTGGCGGGTAAGTAAGAACCATCAAAATGATATCTAATCATGTTCATAAATGAAACATAATTATTTTATTAAAACCGACGTATGCAAATCATCTTTCAATGTACTTGAGGGTCCTCCAAAACATATCAGACAGTGTCGTCCCCATCACCACGGCCAATGGTATTTTACATCTATAAATACATACGAATATAAAAGAGAACGAGAAAAAGAAAAGAAACGAAACCGAGTTAAGTTTGCGTAATAATTTCCAGGGTCAATTGCTTGAAAATGGGGCGTGCAAACCAAAGCGATCCCGAGTGGCCGATCCAACAACGAAGGCAAGAGTTTGACAGAATCAGAAGTTGGATAGCACAGTACTATGCTGATCTTCACCTCATCAAACGCACCTAAATTTGATCATGCCACTGAAAAGCACAGCATTTTGTTTCATTTACGTGCGTCACAATAATATATATTGAGGTGTATGGGAACGTTTCATTGATTACAATCATACAGTAAGACAAATATAAATAAAATGATACAATAATTTGTGAAACTCTGCAAAATCATGTTTATATTGTCTCTTGACTTGATAATCATCACTGATGGGTCCAGCTTCTGCTCCCCGCAGCAATGAGCACCTAGTCTCTCATCGCTGCTGTGGTTATTATACATTGTGTGTGATGATTGCCCTTTGAATAAAATAAATTTATGCACGTTCAATTGTTACTAACCATTTTGTTTGTTAAAAATTTGGGTCATTATTACTTGTAACATTTTTAAAAAATTGTTGTTCTAACAAGTATGTAAATTTGCTATTACATATGGCTGCGGGCTGCCATACTACACTTGTCATCTAAAAAATTTAGATGAATTAAATTGAAAGACTATTCAATAATTGTAACGGTATACCCCACACCTCAAAAAGCTGTGTTAATAAATTGCTCACCTCAAGAATGACATAATGAGAATAGAAGCCACTTTTTGCATTCTTACCTATTAAAATTTAAACCAATGTCTGTTTTTTTTTTTCCCACCACGATTATTTGTCAAAAAAACTGCTTATGGTCTGATTTTCGTTACGATTCGGCTGTTAAAATGTCCAAATTATTGGCTGGCCCATAACCTAAGCCCAAATGACCGACAAAGACGCAACGTTATGGCACGTTGGCGCCAGACAGCGACCCCGCCTGTTAATGATATACCCAAATAAGAAGAAGTTGCTCGCGCCCTTAAATCCTAACGAGTCAGTCTGCCTGACGGAAGAGAGAATTCGTCATAGGGAACTGGGAAATGAGCGGAAAGCTAGAAATATGGCGACGTATGTCAATCGCTGTCAAATTCTGTACTCCTTGTGCCTGCTTACATGGCAAGCGCCTCCTGCACCAAGCCCCAGACACCATTGAGGAGCTTCTCGATAGGCATCTAGTCAAGAAGGATAAGCCCCTTGACGATGGAGAAGAAGAATTGATTAATCGGAGGCGACTGACCAGCACTCGCCGTGAAGCACTCAGCCTTTACCACGATATTCTTCGCGCCACCCGATTCTTTATGTGGCCTGACTCCAATGGCATCCTCTGGCGTGATATTCTCCGACACAACGCCCGAAAAGAGTTTGAAGAGGCCCGCTTCGAGACCGACCCTGAAGTCGTCACCCGATTACTTATCGGTGGCCGTGAGGCTGTCCACTCTGCTCTTGAAAAGCTCGCCAATCAGATTCAGAAGGACCGTGGCGGTGGATATCAACGCTGACCTATCATCTTCTTCCCTTCCCTAGTATGTCACTCTGACTGAACAAAGATGTTATGCTGTATAAATCTTCTAAAGCCAATGAATTTGTTTATTTCTTGTTTGCGTGCTTTAGAAATCTGGATTTTTTATGTCTTCACTGAAATATGTTTTTGTACTGAAAACGTAATTACCGACGAAGTTGTAAATATTATTCAAATTTGAGACACAACATAATAGGAAACAAAGGAAAATGGGGCACTGATCTGAAATGCTATCTCACTATGCAATCTCTTGTCCTTTGCCTGTCATGTCATCTGGTTTTGTATATCTTACTTCTATCTATTTTCCCAACATATCTGGTTTCTGGTTTGTTTAGAGGGCATTCTTTGGTCAAAGAATATTAGGCGATGTTTATGCAGTTAGGGTCTCCTGCATCACTCAGTGTCCAAGTTGGTAAGGATGTAGTAATGACTAGTTCCTTAAGAATACTACAAGTCTAAACCTTGAATTTATCAGTTCAATCCTTAAATTAGACTACGATTTCCTGAAATCTAATGCTCGCTGAGTGCAAGTTTGGGGTTTAAATTATGTCGTCATTATATTTTTTCTTTTATTGGTCATATCCTCAAATTCTTCATAGCCTGTGGTTTTCCACATTTGACTCTTGGCTTAATCGGCTCTGGTCGTGCCCCATGCTTTTCCCCGCACAAGATGCCCTTGTTTGATGGTTATTCTTGCCCCCACAGTGCCTCTTTGACTAGTCAATTCTTTTGGGGTCACAAAAATTATTGTCAGGTCATTTCCCAATCTTTGTCTATTTTTACTCAACCCTTCATCTTATTCTTATCGATGCTCGAAGGAGAACAGAAGACGACTAATACGTAATTTGAACACGGTCCACGTTAACTGTGGTAATTCAGATCCTGGGGTAGAAGCTATTTTGGTACATGTCTGAAACTTGGGATTTGGGTGACAATGTGTTTATTTTTATTCTTTGCCAATTAAGCATAATTTTTTGTTGCATGATGTTATCTTTTTTTTTTTTGTATCCTTGGGTTTTACTATATTCTTAATGATTGGCCTTTAAGGAGATTGTAATGCTATCTACTTTCACCTGTAACACTTGAGACGTTCAATATCTCTTTCAAGGTTAGTTTCTACTTTGTCTGTGTCCGTGCGCTTGTTCTTCTGATTTAAGCATCTAAGGTGATCACACATTTACATGATGGATGTTATTGGTAAAAATTCCCTTGGTGTCAAATCTCTTCTCTATCCTGACTGGCTTTTCAGTTTTTCCCCAACTCATTGGATTCTTGCCACTTGGGTCTTCTATGATTTTACTTCTAGACAGGAATAGCTAAGAAGCATGTTCAGGTGTTATAAGGATAGAATATTTTCCATGATTTTAGTTACCAGAAAAAACCTTGAATTCTGCTTTATTGAGCTATATCATATTATATTCGGATTCTGTTGGTGGTGGATTCTGCTTTAATGTTCTTGTTAACATGGTTACTGCTTGCTTGACATTGGTCAATGTTGGCGAAGATATTTCACTTCCTTTATCTCTGAGTTGCCTTGTTGATGTAATATGAAGAACCATTTTAGGCATCAGGAACCAGTTTTGAGTTCTCTCTATTTAATAGGAAGATGTTGATTACATAATGAGTTGAGAATATGTTGATTGCATATAAAATCCACGTGATCATCGGACTTCTCCCTTTTTCCTGACATCTGCCTAGTTTCTCAAAATTCAATTCCTTAAGGAGTCATGGCAATTCTGACTGTTCAAACGAGAACCTATACATGAAGCAGGAGTGTTGACCGGGAAACAAAACAAAAAAAGGGGGAAAAAAAACGCGAGTAAAAGAAAGATAATAGGATATGTAAATTTGGGGCCATATTTGTAAACCGAATCCAGATTCTGAAGATTTGTCAGCCTCGGGTTTCTGCTTTGCTGGTAAAACCGTCTGTTTATAAGCTATTTAATGTGTTGAATAGCACTATGTACTTGTTATTTGGCTATTCATTAACAAACGGATGGCATGTGTCAAAAGGCAAAACCTCACCAAGTTAAAAACGCTCTATTGGAACCTTACCTATTGCGTGTATATGTCTCATACGTCAAATTTGTAAGCCATCACCATATTTAATAAAATTTAATGAAATTCTACTTTCTTTTAGCTTAAATTACGTTCCAGAAATCTGAATTTCACATAATTTCTTGTCCAAGGAATAACTTTTCAACGAAGAAATTAAAATAATTTCATACAATATTTTTTCCTCTTAAAGTACTTCGTAAAAAAAACCGATGTAAAGGCCCAAAAAACTCCAGCAAAAGGTGTGTGTCGGCGAAACCCACTTCCACTGAATTCCTAATGTGTTTGATCTAGGAATTTTTTTTGGCCGAAGTTTGATCGTTAAATTAAATAAATTTAAATTTAATTTAGTTTAATTTAACTTTAAATTAAACGTTTCTTCAAATGTTAGAAAATGTTTTTGAAATGTAAAATATTACAAAGTGCTATGAAACGTGAAACGTGAAATGTGATTTACCCAAATCACATTTAATTTCAACCTTAGGGTGTGTTTGGGTAAATCATATTTCACATTTATGAAGCACTTTTTAATGTTTGAGATGTAAAAAATTATTTGGATACTAAATGATTGAAAAAATGTGTTTTTGAAAAGTATTACCTACAGTGAGTCGGATGTAAATTTGCAAAAATAATTTAAGATATAATTTGAAAAGTGAGATATTATTTAATCATGTTATACCTTTAATATGTTATTCTTTTTATTTAAAACATATTGTTAATTTATTAAAAATATAATTGTCATTTAAATAAGGGAAAATATATTTATAGATCTTTATAATTTTACTTAATTTTAAATTAAGTTCCTACAGTTTATTTTATTTTATTTGAGTTCTTATAGTTTGATCAATTAAACTTTTTAATTCTTAAAAGTTACAATCCTTACATTTTTCCATTGAAAAAAATAAAATCAAGAACTTTTATAATTAAATGATTATATGACTTAATATTAATTACATAACTTTTATAAATCAAAATTTATATAATTAAGTTGTCTTCTAAATATTTTTTATACATGTAAAATTTTTATAAAAAATATATAATAAAAATATAAATAGGGGATTAAATCATTTTTTTAATTTTGGCTAAAAATATTAAATTAAATTTTTTGCAAACTTCAAGAGTATTTTTATTTTGTAAAATTTAATAATTCATTATTACTTTTAACCTTCAAAAAGTCAACATATATGATAGATGAAACTATAAAAAAATTAATTTAAAATTGAATGAAACTGCAAGAACTTACAAGTATATTTTACCTTTAAATAAGAATTATTATTAGAAATTAAATTTTTAACATTATAAATTGAATAATTAATCTTGTTAATTTTTTAGCTTTGATGTATATTCAACTTTTTATATAATTTTTATCCAATATATCAAATTTTATATTTTATATTGTTATTAATTAATATGCCAATTTTTATGTTATTTAGAATTTTTATTAACCAACAAAGGTTTGTCCAATTAGTCAAATATTTTTTGAATAAACAAATTTATCATATATATCATTTAATCATGTTAATCTTCAATATTAATATATGTTAAACTATTTATTATATAATTTTTTTTTCAATGTATCAAACTTTATATTTTTTATTTTTATTATTTAACATATTAAATTTTACAATATTTAAAATTTTTATCATATTTTTTAAACATTTTAAATATATTACATTTATATAACAAAAATTATAAATCATCATAAATCAATATCTTTTTCAATAATTATACATTTAAAAAAATATTTTATTATATCCAAACAACTTTCAATTTACTAAACTGACTTTTAAAAAAATATATTCAAAAATAAATTTCGTTATAGTAATTGACTTTTATTAAACTGACTATTGCTAAATGAACTTTCAGCAAATGAACTTTTAACAAATTAAAAATCAAACACACACAATATTAAAGTAGTGAAACTTAATTACTGAAATTGCTCGTCATGAAATTCAAGGTTGCAAGAAAGATAGCCTCTCATAGCCAATTGTTCGAAGCTGGCTCAAAATCTCATCAAAGTTTGCAGGAGGTTGGCATGAAAAGTGTAGCTGCTCTCCTAATGGGGATGCAGCAACCTGCAAAATAACATTCTTCTGTCATTTTTCGTTGCAAAATGAATGAGGAATTGATGACCATTAGTTTGCAAGATGGCTTTATCCTCTCGCCCAAGAGTAAAAGCATGGAGGCAAGGTCTATCTAGACAGGGGTTATAACTTTGTACAATTTTGCCAAGACACCATTTGTACAATTTTGCCACTCAAGTTCGTTGGAGTTCTGGGCTGAAGTAGAGATGGGGCCGTGCTCCCCCTCCCTCCATACACCTCGTCACCTAGCAGGGGAATGCCCAGATACTTGGAGTGTGCATGTATCTAAAATAACCATGAGAGCATGGGTTACAACTATAAGGCTTCCCCTCTCTTTCGGCTGGGGTGGGGAGCTGTAACTCAGCCGAACAACATTCACAATAGACTTCAAACTCAACAGCGTTCTTTATTATTTTAGATAAGAACATATGTAGATGGACAGAAGACACATCAATTTCATCAATCATACCACTTCAACAAAATTGAATTCATAAGTCAGATGATCTTCCGCTGTCAAGCAAAGGCCTTTAAGAAAGTAGCGGGGTCAAGATTTTCCTACAAAAGCTTCAATCCGACAGTACTTTTGTTATTTTGTTCTATAAGCCCCTCAAAATTATCCAAAAATCTTACTGACAAGATGATACCACAAACCAATAACATCTAGTTTTCAAGCTCTATACCATGAAATACCTGATGAGTACGCCCAGTTTCTAGCTTCCATTCAAGCAATGCACAACCACCTTTAGCAAGTATCTCAGTTATTGTGTGCCTGATACAATGTAAGCAACCAAATTTCAATGAAAAGCATGAATGCACAATTTAAGCTTTTTGCCTGTTCCATTCAATTTTAATCACTTAATTACAAAAATGCAATTTTATCTGTAACACCCTCAAATTTACAAATCGATTTTTCGCAAATTATTAATTCAACAACTCATTTTTTTTTCATTGAACCCTTATATACCCTTATCATGGTAGAAAAATTTCTACCATGATACATCCAAGACAATATACCACAAGTCTTAAAATATCTCAAAAAGCAATTAGAACTATGAGGGACAGACATGATCCTCATAGCATGTTATTCAAATCAGGTCATAAATTAAAAGGGGCAGACATAATCCTCTTGAACATATAAATGCATTTAATAAAAAGGATTAGAGTTTACATGCTCTACAAAGAAGATATATCCTAAGTTGGCACAAGATACATTGTATAATCCAAAATAAGAGGCAACGTAAAAGATGGTGTCTCATACACCATAATTACACCTCTGGTGCTTTCTCGGCCGGACTCGCTCCTGTAAAAATATTAACCACGGGAAATGAGACTTAAAAGTCTCAGTAACCAAAAATTAATATGTAATGATTCATGCGAATGTAACTAATCATGCGATTGCTAAGTGGGCACACAAAACATTTAACCGAACAATATTTTCAAACAAACCGAACAAGTATTTAATTTGCATGACTGCACCTTATATCCTCCTTTCGCCATGCTCGGACGCCAAATCACCCAGCCAAAGGTGAGTTGGACCAAGCGACACGCCACTCATTGGGTCCAATGAGGGCTTACCACGTGGTAATAATTAACCGAACAGAAATTCCCATTAACACCATACATTAAAATACCCTGACAAGTCATGCATCATTCAAATATCCAAACAGGAATATATCGGAACAATAATATCTCATCATGATAAACAAAAATAAATTTTTAAACCCACTTGGCAATAATTTCAAACAATTATATACAGTATTTATTTTCAATAATTCATAATTTTTTCCAAACAACAAAACAACACATAACCATTCACAAACACACCCATCACAACACATTAATAATGGTTACCTTATGTCTTGAATAACAAGTTCCCCTTCACAACTCCTCTTTCACCACTATCTTTGTCAACACAATCTACATAGTTATTTCATAATACTATGTATTAATTTTACATTAAAATACATAACTCTAATTTAAAGAGTTAGAAAGTCTTAGATCTATAATCTATATTAACACTAATTTAAGATTTATGCCTCATTTAACTTCCCAAATTCTTTTCTAAAATTCTCGTACCCTAATAAACTATTTTTAAGCCGTAAATTACTTCTAGTATCACAATTTCATCCTTCTATATTCTAAAAATTTGCCCAAAAATAAATTAAAAATTTTAGAATTATCCTGAAGCCTCAAATCACCTTTCTATAACCTCAAAAATACCTATTCATACTTAAATAAATATTTAATAATCAGGGGTTCATCCCTACATCTCAGATTCCACATAAATTTGACCATATAGATCTAGATTTTAACTCAAAAATTCTTAAATATGAGTTTCAACCTCAAAAAAATATTCTATAATATTTATTATATCTCTAAGAGTTTTAACCTATATTTTTAATACATCATATCATCAGATTAACTATCCTATAGAAAAATTCTAATCAGAATATTTACTCTATCCTACAAAATAATCATATCACTAGAAATTTAATATTATTTAGAAAATAACTATAAAATTAATTTTGTAATTAAATAAATTTTTAAATGCTAATCTAAACAGGAAAGTTAGAACATACCTGAAGAAAAAGAAAATAATCCCCCCTTGCGAGAAAACGCCGAGCAACGTGAGAGGAAGAGAGAAAAATAATATAAAAATGAGATTGTGAGTCTCAAAATTATATTAAAAAAAACTATAGGTTTGAATTTAATTATTCAAACCTTTGGGCCAAAAGTTGCAATTTCCTTTAAATTGTATCTTAGCCTCTCATGCTTCCTAATGCACACACCCCCTCCTTTTTATACATGAAGGCACCTCTTCTCTTCCCTCATCTAACCAATGTGGGACTTAGAAACAACAACCTTCCACCCCCCATTTTTTTTTGTTCCTTCTACCTTCTGTTTTTTTTAACACACACATAAAAAAAATTATTTATGTATTATATCTTAACTAAATATTGCTTATGTGGTTTTAAATTTAAATTTTTAAATTCATAATTAAATACCTAATCATAATATTATTTCTAAATAACCTCAAATAATATAAATTCCTATTATTATTATTATTTTTTCCTCAAAACCTAAATTCCACAATTTCTTTATTATATAAAAATCAGGATGTTACATTATCAAGGTAAGTGTTAATTTGCTGAGTTAACCTATTTCCACTAGAGACAATTGGGATATTACCCTCGATAAAGAAATCAAACCTCGTATTATCTTCACACACATCATAAGATTTGTGTCCACGTGTTAGTTGCTACTTAAAACATGTGGACTTCATTTCCCCATAGTCAAATTTAACTAGAAGCAAAAGCATATTTCTTGGTGAATACCCAGTAGCAGCATATCAGGCTTTTTTATTGTTAACCAATCTAGCCACGGGAGTCATTCAAATCCGATTATTAGGGTCACGACTAACTAGAACCTCAACACATCCAGCATTTGGAAAGGGAACCCTAACAGTGAGACTGACATACACATTCTTGATAGTGCGGAGCTTGAATTGCTTTGATAAATGGATATGGGAATGTTCATCTTGCCATCAAAGCATATTAAAAACGGGTACAGAACTATGCAATCCACAACAACAACAACAACAACAACAAGCCTTTATCCCACTAGGTGGGGTCGGCTACATGGATTGCAAGACGCCATTGTGCTCTATCATTTATCAAGCTTTTAGAAATATTATTAATTAAGAGATCACATTCAACAACTTCCAAGAGTGTTCTCTTAGGCCTTCCTTTACCTCTCTTAATCGGACTCAAAGTTATATGTTCCACTCTTCTTACTGGTGCCTCCCTTGGTCTTCTTTGTACATGCCCAAACCATCTCAACCGATTTTCTACCATTTTTTCCTCAATAGGTGCCACCCTTACTTTTTCGCGTATGTGCTCATTTCGAATTTTATCTTTATGTGTATGTCCGCACATCCATCGTAACATTCTCATCTCTGCTACTCCAACTTTATGCTCTTGCTGTCCCGTTAGAGCCCAGCATTCACTACTATATAACATTGCCGGTCTGATAGCAGTACGATAAAACTTTCCTTTAAGTTTATTAGGCACCTTACGGTCACAAATAACTCCTTTAGCTTTTCTCCAATTAAACCACCCAGCTTGAATTCTATGTAAAATATCTCCACTGATTTCGCCATCATTTTGAATAATGGCTCCCAAATATCTAAACTTTTCCACTTGAGGTATAATTTGATCTCCCAATTTCACTTCCAAATTATTTTTGAAGAGTCCTTTACCAAATTTACAATATAAATATTCCGTCTTACTTCTACTCAGACGAAAACCTTTCGACTCCAATGTCCTCCTCCATAACTCAAGTTTGCAATTAACCTCTTCTCTTGTCTCTGCTATAAGAACTATATCATCCGCGAAGAGCATACATTTCGGGATTTCCTCTTGAATATGTTTCGTCAAAACATTTAAAATCAAGTTGAACAAATAAGAACTCAGAGATAATCCCTGATGTAGTCCAATCTTTATAGAAAAATCCTTTGTTTGACCACTAGGCGTTCTTATACTAGTTTTTACCCCCTCATACATATCTTGTATGGCTTTAATATAAGCAATCCGTACTCCCTTTTTTTCCAACGCTTTCCAAAGCACTTCTCTTGGTATACGGTCATAAGCTTTTTCCAAATCGATAAAAACCATGTGTAGATCTTTATCTTTACAACGATACTTTTCCATTAATCCCCTTAGTAGATAAATCGCCTCTGTAGTTGATCTACCTGGCATAAAACCAAATTGATTCTCAGAAATACTTGTCTCCAATCTCAACCTATGCTCAATTACTTTCTCCCACAATTTCATTGTGTGGCTCATGAGTTTAATCCCTCTATAGTTAGTACAATTCTGAATATCTCCTTTATTTTTATAAATAGGAATTAATGTACTTCTCCTCCACTCATCAGGCATTTTCTTGGACCGTAAAATCACATTAAATAACTTAGTTAACCATCTCACCCCTTCTTCACCTAAACATTTCCACGCTTCGATAGATATACAATCAGGTCCGTTAGCTCTACCATTTGCCATTTTCTTAAGAGCTTCCTTTACCTCCTTATCACATATTTTTCGATAGAATGACAAATTTTGTTCTCCTTCACCAGTTACTAAATCCTCCAAGTTACTAGATGAATCCTCTCCATCATTGAAAAGTTTAGAAAAATAAGTCTCCCATCTATTTTTAATTTCATCATCTGTAACTAAAATTCTTCCCTCTTCATCCTTAGTACACCTTACCTGTTCTAGATCTCTTGATTTTCTTTCCCTACTCTTGGCAATCTTATAAATATTTTGCTCTCCTTCCTTCGTCTCAAGGTTCTTATAAAATTCTTCAAAAGCTTTGGAACGAGCTTCACCCACAGCTCTCTTAGTTTCCTTCTTAGCCATACGGTACCTCTCCCAATTTTCCTCATTGTTACACAAATGTATGGCTTTAAAACAATTCTTCTTATACTTGATTTTGTCCTGTACACTATTATTCCACCACCAAGACTCCTTATCTCTCGGACCAGAACCTTTCGATTCTCCCAAAACTACTTTTGCAACCTCCCGTATCTTTTTAGCCATATCCTCCCATATGATGTTAGCACTTCCCTGAGAATCCCAAATTCCTTTATCCAAAAGATTTCGCTTGAAAATATCTTGCTTCTCACCTTTTAATTGCCACCACCTAATCCTTGGTGTTACTACTTGTCGACGTTTTTGGATTTTACTCATAATACACACATCAAGGACTAGGACCCTATGTTGTGTCGTTACAGCATCACCTTACAATTTTTACAAAGTTTTCTATCTGTGTTCCTAACCAAAAGAAAATCAATCTGCGACCTTGAGGCTCTACTTTTGTAAGTGATGAGATGCTTATCTCTTTTCTTGAAACAAGTGTTGGCAATCTTAAAATCATACGCCAATGAGAAATCAAGAAGAGTTTATCCTTCATTGTTTAGCTCTCCAAAACCAAAACCACCATGCACCTTCGCATACTGACCAGCTTCCCTCCCGACATGCCCATTAAAGTCTCCTCCAATAAAAATCTTTTCACTCTGTGGTATGTGTCGAATCAACCCCTCCAGATCCTCCCAAAATAATTCCTTAAGACTGGCTTCTGTCCCGACTTGTGGCGCATAAGCGCTAACAATATTAACAGTCTCATGTCCAATTATCATTTTTAAAGAAATAATTCTGTCTCCAATTCTGCTAACTTCTACAACGTTCTTCTTCCACTCCTTATCTATAATGATGCCTACTCTATTGCGTGCACTTACTTTTCCTGTATACCAAAGTTGGAAACCTTGAATATCCTTAGCTTCTTCTCCACGCCATTTTGTTTCTTGCAAGCAAAGGATATTGATTTTCCTTTGAATCATAACCCCTACAACCTCTACAGATTTACAATTTAATGTCCCAACATTCCAAGTACCAAATCTAATTTTGCTCTTATGGACTAACTTCTTTAGCCGCGTGCGTCCAGAATGACGCGGTAGCCCTTGCTCATTTAACACTACATCCGGGTGCCGATGCAGCGGCTCTAACTCACTTATCACTGTACTCAAGCCATGCAGCGAGTTACTTACGGGCAACGACCTAGCATTAACATTATAACGTCTATTGTCCATGTTCATGATAGATTCAACAAATTTTTACATTGGCTGTTGATGGCCTAACACAACCCTCCTCCTTTACCCGGGCTTGGGACCGGCTATAAACATAGGCGGAGGACTCTAATTTTTTGTCAAGGGCAGGAGCTTGACATCAATTTCTAGAAGATGGAACAATACCTTTGCCACAACAAGCAATCCACTAGTGCCATTGTCCGGCCTATGCACAATCCCGAGGCGGACTGATGCTCCATACATGCTGGAATGTGATTGTAACATTTTACAAGACCTTTCTCTGAAAAAGATTCCTTGTCAGAAATTTCAACATTGGGATTGTTGTAATGGTAAAGAATGCCATTGACAAGAGTGGCAGATGTGTTTCCAGCTGCTGGATGCACATCCCAAGTTGAAGAATGGATCATGTCAGTAATTTGACCTCTTCTGGCATAAAGAATACCTTGTAAATAATGCTTTACAGATGTTAAAAAGATATAGGTTTGGAATCAGCATGTGCGTAGGTTTATTAATTACTAGTACATACTCATCTTCATAAATAATATCCAACAACATATGTTCTGGCTCAGCTCTCAACTGTTATAACTTTGAAATCGAACAATTGATCTTATCATCACCCTTGACATTGAAAGAAGCCTGCTCAAACAATCATAGGACATAAGCTAGATCCCTTATCTAGAAAGCCCTTGTAGAAATTAAGAAAAATACCAGAGATTTTTTACAGGTACCAAGAAATAAAGTCCCCATGTTATTTTATGCAAAAAAAAAAAAAATTGTTAGGGATAAGATTCATTTTGTTTATCATGACAATTGACATCAAAGCACTCTTCTTCAATGATTCAATTCATGAAATGACTGATCAACAATGAGAGACTGAAACAGGGGCATGCTTAAACAATACTGATGATTTCATGTTTGAATGTAATGTGCCATGTAATGATGAATTCTTCCAAGTTTCTAAGTGCGACTATGAACACCAGCATCATCAGAAAAGTTTCGACAAGGAGATTAATTCCACTAAGAAACTGTTAGATTCAATGTATGAGGCAAATCCAAATATTAGATATACTCTCATGGATTTTGAAGACACAACACATCTCAGATTCATGAACTAGCTAATTGTGATCATTTTAGTCAATAAATTTCACAATTGAAGTCATTTAATCACACATAGACTTCCCTCATCGACCTGCTTTAGCAACATGTCAAAAGATGATTGGTTATTACTAAGCATAAACACACACAAAGAAATAATAAAATATTCAGGCTCCTACGCACAAACTTCAAACAGAGTTTCCATTAACATTGAGGTTCGCCTTATCAACAACACGACTGTTGGCATGAAGAACGCCTGTTCAAATACTTGACTGTACACAAGCCCCACTTATGCCACTGATGCAAGAAGAGATCCAAAGCCTGAGTTTTCCTCAACCGACGTCGACAGTCTCCTCTAACCGCAATCCGGCGTCACTCATCTTCTTCGCAAAGACCGGTTCTTGCTCTCCATGGGAATCTACGTCTCCGTCGAAGGCACAATAGCATCTAACTGTTCTTGCAACACTGCGAGGAAACTTTTGACTTCAACCCCCAATCAGAGGAGAGAGGCGGTGAGGTGCGAAATGATTTTGCTGTGAAAGCATCGCGATATGTACAGGAGTAAACTTGGATCATCCTTTTCCTTCATTGCCCCCATCCTCTGTTGAATAAAAACGACGACATAAGTACCTCGGATCTCAGTTAAAAAAAAAAAAAATACCTCGGATCAGCCAGCGCCTATTGACGACAGACATGTGAGCTCATTTATGAATATTCTTTAAATCCATTTCATTAAAAATTTAAAATCTTTCCTTCCTAGCTCCCCACCACCCGATAACAAGTTGAGTATGGCTTGTGTTCCTATGGAGGCCATGAAGCTTTCTTTTGTTTTTATTGAATATGGTCTCACTTAAACTCATTTTCGAAAAGATCTTCATATTTATAAAATCAAAAAGCATATTTTTAAATCCTTACAGTTTTATTTAATTTTAAATTAAGTCCTTATAATTTATTTTATTTTAATTAAGTCTTTATAGTTTAACTAATTAAATTTTTTTATCTTTGAAAATTAAAATCCTTACATTTTTTATTTTAAAAAAACAAAATTAAAAACTTTTATATTTGTGTTAAATGATTATATGACTTTAAAATTAATTACATAATTTTTATAACTCAAAATTTATATAATTAGGTTGTCTTTTAAATATTTTTTATACATGAAGAATTTTAATAAAAAATTATAATAAAAACATAAATAGTGGATTAAATCAAATTTTTTTCAATTTTGGCTAAAAGTATTAGATTATTTTTTTTTTGGCAAACTCTAAGAGTTTTTTGTGTGTAAAATTTAATAATCCATTATAAATTTTAACCTTCAAATATATAATAAATAAAATTGTATGAGTTTGATTAAAACAAAATAAACTGTAAGGATTTAATTTAAAATTGAATGAAACTGTAAGGATCAATAAGTGTACTTTTCTTTGTATATTTGAACAGTGAGTCAAACACATCCCTTTCACCTGCAATGGCTAATCTCATTATTAAGTACTGATGAATGAGACTAATAATCTAGTGCCAGACATCATTGATTTTTCTTGTGGTGATCAATAACATGATATAAATCTTATCCTTTAAAGTTTTTTTTTCTTTTTTTTTGGTTGAAGATCCTTCAAATTCGAAGGTTTGCTAGCAACATTATCTCCTGAAATGGGCTAGGAGATCCTCTTAGTAGTGAAGAAAAGAACGGACTTGAAATATATTTGTTTTGTAAAATATGAATTGAAATCCAGTCTCACTTTAACGAGAATGGATCCCTTCCGGTGGATATTATGCAGTAATTGGGAAGTGAAGAAATCATCACCGTACGATCTATCTAATGGTTGAGAGGAGAATATTGGTGTATAACTCAGTTCCTACATGCCAAAACACGCAAACATTAGGGATTTTCAAGTTTTTCCTTTGTTGGAATAGCTAGCCTTCAACCTGCCCTCTCTCTGCATTGACTCTATCAATCTGATCCATGTCTCTCCCTCTCTACTTGTGTTCTTTGCAGATTTAAGCTTTTCCTTCTCAGCTCTTCATCAATGCTTATCATTAATCCATTTGCGTTTTTAATTCAACCCAGCTCTCTTCTCCTACGCTTGCATCCTCTACCAGCAATAACTTTCAACTAAAAGTCCGTCCAAATTATTAAACATTGATGTTCACCACTACGAAGAAGCTACCGCCATGAAGAACTTGCTATAATGAGGAATAAGATTCATGTCTAAATCAAATTATCTTTAATTTGTTCCATCTTCCAATTTTGAATCTACCCCCCTCCTCCACGGCGGTCTCCACCATCTTTGCAAATGCCTTTTGCCATGGCCAAATAAAAATTATGTTTGTTGAAACAAAATTTTATATTTGGATTCTGAGTAGTCTAAATTCACTCAATTATTAAGTGTCTTAATTATAGTAATATAATTTTATTAATACTTGAATTATTAAAATATATTTTTTAAAAAAATTAAAATAATTCTCACGATCAAAACACTCTTTACATACATTATTTTTTCAAAAAATTCGAATTTTGTTTTTCTTTAACATTGTATGAAAATATTTCTAATAACTGTTTGATTAAATCATATAATTGTTATCTTGCAATATGAGATATTTATTGAGTGGTGAACTTAAGTCACTGATCACTAGATCCAAATACATGGAACTGCACTTTAAAGTTTAAGAATGGAATTGCAATTTAGGAAATTTGTAATTAGGTGGATAAATAAAGATTGGAATTGAATATGCTTGTATTCAAGGTTCAAGAATGGAATTGTATATATTTACAGAATTTGATGAGTTATGAAATTTAAAATCTCTAATGCTTGTATCTTTTGGCCGGTAACAAGTAAATTGTACACTACTACTCTCGTCCTAACCATTGTATAAATTGTACAGTGATCATTTCTTCACTTCCTAGCCATGGGATAATAGCTACCAGAGAGGATAAATTCCCAACTTCCACATTTAACAATTCCAGGGAATTTTGAGATTGTTTCCAATGCTTTCCCCCTTTTTTGAGTTTCTTGGGTTCTTCTCCATGATTACTGTATGTAAGGTCCCATTTGGGTCCCAGAATAATGAACTACATCACCTTTAATATATATTATAAATGTGAAAATTATCATACCTTATAAAAATTTTATGAATCATAATTCTTAATTTCATAAATTAAATTATTCATTTTTTTATGAATATGATTTACTATTTCTTTTGATAATTTCATTGTTCCTTTTATTTTTTCAATTCATTTCATTCTAGTAATCAAATGGGACATAAGATTTATAACTATCAAGCAAAATTATCGATAACCCAAGGAGCTGAGCTGAGCTTAATATATATATATATATATATATATATTGGCCTCGGTGAAAGCTTGATATACAATCTTTGATGTGCTAGTCATTTATACATGTACTAAAAATAAAACCAATTATATATAAATTATATTAAATTAAATTATATCATTATGAAAGCATATTTATAAAATAATATTTTAAACAAGATATTGTTCTAATATGATTTATTTTAATTAGATAGTAAGTTTATCTATTATCAATCCACGTTACAAGTTAAATTAAACAAATGGGGTCGTAGACATTAATCCGCAGATCCCGTAGGGTAGCACAAGCCGACGACTTTGGCTTCAAAATTCCTCTTTTCTTCACAAGTCTCTTTCACTCCCTAGCTTCACGAAAACTTTTCAGAGGCTTCCTCTCCCGCGTATGCCCAACGTCTTCCTCCCTTCAATCCTCTCAACTGCCAGTTCGTTAGGGTTTGGAGAGCATCACGATTTGGGCTGAGTTTTTTTTTTCCTTTTTGTTATCTAGAATATTTTTCATTATTATATATATATCCTAGTCATTCTTAGAAAATATTATTTAATATTATTATGTAATTATTAATTATTATTAGATTATCTTTTTCTATATGGTATATAGCTCAATAATATATAAGATATTTTTTATATTTTCTTGCTCATTTCATTCCTGACACTGTTCTTGGCTGCTCTCCTTTTTTCTCTTGCCTTTGAAATTCTTTCTTCAGCTTTCACATTTTCAGTGGGACTCACTATACCTTTTTCTCTTTAGCTTTTCTCTTGCCTTCACAATTTGTTCCTTTTTTGTTCCTCTCCTTAAAGTAGCATCTATTTTGTCTTCTTCCTCATTGAATTTTTAGAAATTCTCACTCTGATTAAGCCAACTCAATCTGTGTGGACTCTTTTATTTTAAGATTCTTGCTTTATAGTGAAATTCTCACTTAATCACCGTCTCCTCTTGGTCTTTTTATTTTTTTCCCTTATTCTTCAATGAAAAAATTTGATATTGCTCAACCTATTTTTGTTTTGTTGACTGGTCCTAACTATCACTTAAAAAGTATGCGTGGTTTTTTGAAAGGCATGAAACTTTAGTGATATATTACTGGAGATGTCTCATTTTCTATTAGATCCTCTTTAGAAAATGACCAAAAATTTACTGATCAGTTGGATGATTGAGATAATAAAAATAATCAAATCATAACAAGGTTTCAAAATACTTCTATTACTAGTATTCATCAGTAGTTCGAGCGCTTTGAAACTGTTAAGGAGGTATGGGATCATCTTACTAGCCGGTATACCTCTTCTAATTTGTCTAATCAATACCAACTGTAGAAGGACTTAGTTGTTTCCAAAATGGAGAAAGATCAACTACTGCTTGAGTTTCTTTCTAAGATGGAGGCTATTTGAGACCAACTAGCCTATTTTGAACCTACTTTTAAAAATGATGAGGATGCTAAAGTTTTCTTCAAGTGGTGAGATTAACTTCATCTTATACAATTCTTGATAGCTCTTATTGATGATTTTGAGCTTGTTCACGCCTCTCTGCTTTACCAGAGCCTACTTCTGACTCTTGAGGATGCTCTTCCTCATCTCCGTTCTGAGGAAACTCATTTGGGTCTTCTCTAACAATCCCCTAACATGGCTTTTGCTCCTCCTGGAAGGAATTCTAAGCTTTGTCATCACTGCCCTCAATCTACTCATACTTTTAATCAATGTTCATATATTGAATGTGAACTTGCCAGAAGAAGGGACATATTACTGCGAATTGTCCTTCTTTGACTTATCATTATTATAAAAAGCTTGGGTATCTCATTGATCAGTGCCGTATTTGACCTCCCAAACTTGATTAAGGGAGGTCATTCAAGTCTAGTTCCTCATCATTCAAGCTTGCTCTATCTGTTACTGATGAGCCGCCTATTGCTACTGCTTCTACTTTAGGATCATCTGCTGTTGAACTTGAGTCTTTACTTTGCAAGATTATCTTTAATTCTTCCAGTCCACTTGTTACCTTAGCCATACCTTCAGGTACACCTTCTTGGTATTTTAATTCTGCTTGTTGTAATCATGTGACCAGCCAGAAACACTTCTTCCCCTCCATGCCACGTAATACTACTGCTCACCCTATATATACTATTGATAACTCCCAAATGCCTATTAGTCATATTGGTATTGTTTCCTTGCCCTCTCTGTCCATTCATGATGCTTATTTGGTCCCTAATATTAGTTTTAATTTCCTATCTATTAGACAATTAGTTGATATGGGCTATGATGTTTTATTTAACAAACATAATTGTGTTGTTCCTA